ATCCAGGTGATACTGTAGAACTGAAGCCATCGAAGAAGATAAGCAGTTTAAATACCTTGGCGCCGTTACCTCAAATGATAACCACATGCATTAGTGGAACAGAATCTTGTTTTGAGACCATGTGAACAGCCCTTTTCCGGAGGAACCACCATCGAAACTGAACAAAACGGAATTTTACCGATTTGGATGTCTTAGTTATGAGGAAAGAGACCTGTTATAAAACAAAGGTTGACCACAAGCCGTCTCACAGCAACAGCTTCCTTCGCTGTACTTTAAACCAACCGGATTAAGTAATGTAAGGCATCGCTGAAACTACTATCAGCAGATATCAAAGATTGAGTTGTGATTGAACAAGGCATTTGGAAAGAACATTCGAAATGACATCCGGAGAGCATTAAAAAATATGGCAATCTCAAATGCATCATAGAAGAAGTCATTCGTCAATAAATGAACCAGTCCGACACGAAGACAGTGGCGAAACCGGATAGGTGCTATGTCAGTAAGATCGTCTTATCTTTCGGCTTAAAAGTTGTGTTCAAATCTAAACTCACCTTTTAAGTCATCTAACGATTGCCAAGACCAAGGTGCTACAGGAACAACAACGCGGATAGGTCTATTATACACGCTACGAATATGGTGAAGTATACATCCGGTAAAAGGGTGACCGTCAAAGGAAAAAGGAAGGAACAAGCATATAACTTACGAAATGGAATAATGCTGATTTAACAGAAAATGAAACTGCATAACAAGGACCAGGTAGGAAGCGGATTGAGATCTCGCAGTCATCAAAATAGAAAGCAATGATAACTAAGCTGTTGGTCAGCAGTTCTGTCGAAAATCTTAAAATAGGTGGCAATGCACCAGCGGAGTCTCTGCCAGAAAGTAACTCCAATTTAGAAGGATCAAGGAAGCTTTATTCATTAGGGCCAACAGATGTTTAAACAGAAAAATTTTGATGGATCTTTCAACTGCGATATCAACATTAATCTATGCTCAGTCCGTCATAGACCAAAATAGTACCTGAACGATTTGACTTTGTGGATCTGTTTATATCACTGTATCTTGACAAAGCCGAGTATGGCTGGAATCGTTTGCGATTTGTGCAATAGAGTAGATGTGCGGAGCGAGACGGTAAAATCATGAAAGACATGGAATTATTCTCTCGCATGAGAAGAGAAGAATGCTCAATCTTTAAGTTCGATGATGATGGCTTTGCCAAAGACCTAAATGAGGATTGTGCTGATTTCAAAATCTGGACCAGATATGGAGTTGTAGTCATATGCCAATTCATAGATCTTTATTTAGCTGCTATCTGGTATGCTTTGCTCTACGAGGTGTAAACAGCTGCCTTCGAAAAACACATTAAGAGTGACTAAACAGCCTTCAGGAACGTAGTTGTGACGCCTGTTGAAGATCAAATTGCACCACAGCATTAGCAGCAACATTGCTGAACTCTAGACACATCAGATCTGGTGTGCACGGAGTTATGAAAACAGTGTTGTCCTATCATCTGAAAAGAAGTTGCCAAATCTTGCTAACTCAGGGAAATCACTGCTTTCGAAAGAACAACATGACCAAAGGACACAGGTAGCTAAAGCATCACGTGCAAAAGGAAGTTAAATAGAAATCTGTTGCCGACGAAATCGTTCTTGGCCCGTTTTCACGAGTCTGAAAAAAATGACGAGGACGTATATACAACGAGAGCAAATTACGCTTGTTTAGACAGGACATAAATCAGAAGGTAACCTGAGATATAATGTTGCTTGTAAATATGTAATACATAACGGCAACTTAAGCATATAAAAGTATCATTCTTCTACCAAAGTTTACAAGATGTGGAAATATCGAGAGAAAAAATTATGAATATGACAACAGTAACGCGAAAGCTAGTGTACACTGTAGTTACCCTAGAACATCAGGGTAATATTTTCTTTCTCTGGTATCAGATGTACAATCATTAATATTCACATAGACAATAACAATTTATGTTTCACAGAAAATTATCTGTAATCGTCTGCCCTTTAAATCTGCAATAATTATAAACAATTAATTCAATCAGACTTAATTTAGGATATATGACAACTGTCGTCTAATGATATCCTCTGTGCCATCAGCTGAGCACAGCATGTCAAATTTAGGTAGTGTTAATTACCAGATCGTTCAGAGTTTGAGTATTAAAGCTATGAGATTTTATTTGCTCCATCACTGGATATCATCATAATTCATGGTTTCTATGCAAAATGCTTTGCATGTACAGTATTTTATGCTGTTTTCAGTATGGCCAACGACATACAGACGAAATACTTAAGTTACGGTTTCAGAAGGTCTTCTGTTTTTCTAGTCTAAGAATCACCATTCTCGATTCAGAAACGGTAAAGTGGAAAGTACGTTCCCTTATAAGTTTTAAAAATGTCTGGTGTGGATTAGTAGTCAGACTATCTTTGCCCAGAGATTTTCCGTAGCGGTTTGAAGACCTTCAACAAACGTTACCATTGTGTCGTTATTTGACCTGTATAGAGTTCATGCCAAACTTCAGTGACCGTCGTTGCGATTTATAAGCTTGCATTCCTCCTACCTGCCTCTCCATGCAATGCCATGCGTCGACAGCTGATTTTTTTAACGCATACAGACACTTGGAAAAGAAGAAGATAAAGATCAGAGATCAGATTGGGTCTCCAGTCTATCGAATGCAAATCGATTATAAATTTCTTGGTCACATGGTTACCGTCTAGTCAAGGTGTCATGCGTTTAAGCAATATTTAAAGATTTATAGGTGCTTTGCCTGACGTTCCACAGTTTATTGCACCCTCATAATTTGCATTAAAATTTATTTTCTGTCTTATAAGTGTCAAGAGGAAGTAGTTTCCAAAATGCTTGAAATAAAGTAAATATTCCACCCTTGCGTCTAGCGTTTATTGAATTTGATCATCTCAAATTACTCCTTGAAGGTCCCTGAGCAATCGAGAAGAAACGGCGTTAAGTGAAAGCCGTCAGGTGCTGCAGATCGAAGGATAATATTCTCCCTCGGCACATCATGCTTCCTGCTAGTTTTCTAAAACGTTGCCTCAACAGCTGATCTGAAGATTCTACTTGATTTTAAGTAATTTCGTATACTGGGTTCCGTGACTTTCACAATCGTTGCTACCTTTGTGCCGATATTGCTTATTCGGATAGTGCTGAACTTTCAGAACTCCTGAAGAAGAACTTTCCTGACTATCATAATCTTCCATGTGTATCAATCTGAATGTCATCTGACCCCGCAAGTTTTCTAGGTTTGTAATGTATGAGGTGTTTGTAGGTGAGTCAAAATCAAAACTCTCAATTCCACACTTCATTTATTGGTTAAGTTTATATTTTTCAGTTAATCTCAGTTAACATAAGTGAATATCACATATTCATTACAAACGTTTTCTTCAAGGCCTAAATGTTTCCAATTCCCAATAATTCACGAGTGTATGAGGTAAAAAAAAATTTGGCCGATCAAAATGAAGATAAATTATTTATAAACTTGTTCATGGCCTCTGAATATTGCGGAAAAGAAATTACATCGGCTTAGCATGTAACAGATGTCATTCATATATGTTTGCGCATTGCTTTGCAATGGTCAAACCCTTACTGGCAAATGGTCTATAAAAGAAATCGCCAGAATAGATTTAAGGTAGATTCCTGAAAATGATTCATCAAAAGTTAACATGATGAGGCGATGAACATAAATTTGATGATCCGTCGAGAATTGATTCACTGAGAAGAAATACTGGCGTAATAATGATGTTCGACTTGCTGACGTGTTTCTAAAGGGCTGGAATTTGGACAGGAAACTCACAAAGAGTAAACGCCGCTGCACTGACTGCGGAACCTCCTATGAGTTGAGGTATAGAGTGATTGGTTTGTCGGTTCGTGTCATCTAACTCTTGACGTGCATTCAGGTCGCCAGTCCTTCCTCACTCCTTGATATGTACGTGCTGCGTCAGCCGCTACGAATCAAGCACTAGCAGCAAACCTGATCCGGATGAACACAAATAAGTTTTCAGAGTCAGAAAGATACTTCGCTTTATGAGAGACGATAAACTGCAGTCTCCAAGTACTCGTCATTTGATAAGGCGTCAATTTTTCAGCAAGCGTCGATTTTTGGCACAAGTGGCTCCGGAAACTGCTTGTTTATCACAAGAAGGTTCATTCATATGAAACAATCGTATATATTGTTCGTCCAGACGGCTATGGACGGAAGCTGATTTCCAACAGGAACTTTGCATGCAAGGTACTTTTAAACCAAAAACCTTTATATGATCGTTTTTTGACATTTCTGTTTCATAAAAGAGCTAAATGACAACTATGTACGTACATACGCATTTCTTTCAGGAAGAAAAATCTATCAGAAATCTGGTGTGCATAATTATGCTTTATATGGTTAAAATAATGAATGCTCATATTTTGGATATTTTTTTTCATAATTATTGTGGATTCTCCTGTTGAACTGAAGGCCAGGAAGTAGTGCAGGGGTCAGTTCCGAAAAGTTGAGGTGGTAATTGATCGCCACCAGTTATATCCTATCATAATCATATCTCTTCCTGATCAGAACCTTGCAAAATGCCGGGTTTCTCTGAATCCACTGAGCTGGACAGAGGTTCGAGAGAAATCGGCGAATGTTCACGAAGGGATGCAACCATAACTGACTGCAAAACCATCACTCGCACAGAAATGCTCAAAAAAAGAGCAGTCTGAAGGAGCGTCGATATTCTTAACTAAAGCAAAACGCAAAACGAGTTGTAGTCGTAACCTGGTCTTAATGCTACAAAACAGGATTAATCATAGATCAATTTTTCCTCAAATCCAGCATTAGTTTTGCCTTGTTACGCCATAAAGTCTTAAGTATTTAACATTTTGTTAAACGTATTTTCTGTAAAAATCTTAATCACTGCCATATGTCAAACCACTACCAGTTACTATAATTAATGCATAAAAATAAACACCGATCGTGTGGGTTTATTGGCCAAACTGCCAGTTTGCTATAATATATTTTTGTCATTTTAGGGATAATGTTAAGTGAGGCAACGAACATTCGAATTTATGCCATCATGTCGTTCAGTTGCTCCGTGTTGGATATAATATCCAACGTGATGATGACGTTACATTTTCAAGGAATCAACCGTGAGTTTAATTGCCATGCTTATAATGCCACGGTTGGAGTTTCCGCCTTCACGGTCATCTCATGCGCAATGTTTGTGTTCAATCTGATGGACGACATCAGCACTATTGCCAGCGGGTCAGAAACGGTATGGCTCAGTCGCTTGTCGAAAGCTACGAGTTTGATCACCCAGGAACTGCCGATCGCTATTTGCTTATTAATAATCATCTTGTGTGAACCCACCAGCGCCGAGTTCGCTGCCCCCACCCTATTGGTTTTGCTTATTAAACTGGTATCTCTCATTTCCGGAACAGTGAAGATGATCAAACTGAAGTTTTTCTTCTACTTTTTGCCGTGCAACCAGCAAACTTCATCTTCGCCGTCGTCAAAGTCATACGAGTTCTTAACCACCAGCCATTGTTCAATAAATAATTCTTGTTTGAATGCCCTGATGGTTTTTGTCAGCCTGTGTCAGCTCTCTGCCATTTGTCTGGTGATCATTAATATATGCATTTGCTCTAATATTTAGTAATTCGTTGAATACCGTCCTACGTAAGCCCGCAGCCTCAGATAAAGACCCGTCTCGTAGACGCTGTGCCTTTGGTTGACAGCCAAAATCATGCAAGGCAGTCATTGCTCTCGTCAAGACTGCCCCTCAAAGGCATTCAACTTATTACTCAAACCGAAGCAGATATTCTCTCTGCGAAATCTTTTACCATCGCAGCGTTATAACTTCTTCTCACCTGGTTATTGTATTCACTTTAGGTATCATACGTGATGTGCAAGTTTCTGGCAGATCTCGGTTTCTAATGAATTCCTGCATGCCATTTCGAGTTATTTTAGTAACTGTTAACTTCTGAAAATGTTCCTTACAATTACTTCGTGTTGTTACGATTCATCATAACTATAGTACATCTCTTGAGAGCGAAACAATGCTTTGAATGAAATTATAACATTAATTATAATTGTTATGATCTTGAAAGTAAAGATGTTTTACAATTTTGTGTCGATATAAATTGATTTTTGTTTTGTCTTCTTTCAGGTGGTCTAGCAATTAAAAATCATTCGTATTAGATTTAACATTCCTTGAATTTCTTCCCAATTTGAGGTGATAGCGAGTGTAACTGTTTCTCTACTATCTCTCTTACGGACCGATCCGTTTCTCCCATTGTATTGCAAGATTGAAGTACAGATCTTTTATTCAATTTAGAGGGTAAAATATTTATAGAATAAGTGGGTCAAAAACCTGATCATTGACATCATTTCCAAATGTTTTCAGTTTCAGTCAAATCTTCTCTGCTTGCCAGCTTGCATGAACAAGTCTTTAGAGAGATTCTGATTGGAAATTAGACAGCTTTTGGACCTGCAGTTTGAAAATTTGCACTTATTGTATATAAATATATTATTTGCACTTAAGTTCAGTTGCAAATAAATCTCTCTGACAAATCTCTGTTATGAATAAAGCATTAATCTTTCAGATCATACCTTTCTTGGATGAATGGCATCGAGTTGTGAAAAGTCAATTGCCCTGCTCTTTCTCTATATAGATAGTTGACATAATGGTTAATTTATGAATAAGACATAATTTTCTTCGAAATTACAGGTGGTACAAACGTTTTCTATAAAGAATCAACATTTCGGTTGATTTTACCAACCCTACTCATC